AGAAACTGACGACGCGTTGTACTACGGAGGCAATATTTATAATTCCCACTCGCCTCCCCTCCACTGGTTTCGGCTTGAGGGGGCGTGTCGTTGTTTATAGTAGCTTTTCTATCTCCGTGTTTGGCGGGAAGGGCGTTTGTGGATTTTAATACTGGTATCCATGTTTTGTTGATTTTTAGTCCTTCTTCTATCCTATTGAAATTGTTTGGGTGCTTGTATATTTCCACCGCTTCCCGATATAACCGTGGGTAGTACTGTGAAGTTTTGTCCAGCATCTGTGTTTCTTCAAATAGTATTCGATGTTCTCCGCTTCCCAAAGCGTGTTCGGCAACGGCAGATTTGTCGATATGTCCTAAACGACAATGGCTTTTATGTTCATTTATCCTGGTGTTGGTGTGTCTTTTTGTGGTTCCCACATATACCATTCCACATGTGCATGGTATTCGGTATACTCCGGCCGTTGCTAATGGGTCGCGTTTGTCTTTTACCGATCTTAAACAATCCTTGATCTTCTTTGTAGGTCTGAAGATGGTCTTTATGTTGGCTTTCTTGAGTATTCGCCCAATTCTGTCCGTTACCCCCGATATATAGGGCAAGAACGCTTTCCCTTTACATTCTGTTTCTTCGTCCCTTCTTCTAGATACGTTGTTCATCGCCTTGTGTATTTCTCTTCTGGTGTACCCATTAGAGGTGAGCGCTTTTTCAATATAAAGAAGTTCACTTTGGAGATGTTGTGGTTCACAAATTCTCTTCGCCCTCTCTGCCAAAGTTTTGATGATACCTTGTTTTTGGCTAGGATGATGATTTGAGTTCCTGTTTAGGTATCTGTCTGTGTGTGTAGGTTTTCGATACACTTTATGTCCTAAGTGACCTTCCTTTCGATTTACTAATACATCCAGGAACGCTAGTTGTTGAGCTTTTTCTGTTTCCATCGTAAATTGAATATTTGGATGTAGTGTATTTATATAAGCCAGGAAATCGTTTAGTTTTTCTGCTCCGTGACCCCAAATCACAAAGGTGTCATCAACGTATCTGAACCATACCCTAGGCTTGTATGCTGAGTCCATTATCTTCTTCTCTAAATGCTCCATGAAAAGGTTGGCTACGACCGGGCTTAGTGGGCTTCCCATTGCTACTCCATCCATCTGTTCATAAATTTGGTCTTCCCATGAAAAGTATGTGGTAGTTAGGCAAATACGGTATAATTCCACCATATCCTTGGAAACTAGTCCCTCAATTAAATTCAGAACGTCTTCTAGGGGGACTCTTGTAAATAGGGAAACCACATCAAAACTAACAAGAATGTCAGATTCCTGCAAAGTTATTCCTTTGATCTTCTCAATAAAATGGGCGGAGTCTTTTACAAAGGCATCGTTTTTTCCTATATGTGGTTGTAAAATATCGGCCAGATGTTTTGCAAGGCTGTAAGACGGAGATCCTATGGAGCTCACAATAGGGCGGAGAGGTACATCGTCTTTGTGTATTTTCGGCAAGCCATACAAGCGTGGTGGGACTGCTTCGCTGTTGCATATTCTTGGCTTTATCTCCTCTGGTATGGACAAAGATTTAATAAGTCTGTTGATTTTCCGTTCGTCAGGTACATCGTCCAAAGACGATGTACCTCTCCGCCCTATTGTGAGCTCCATAGGATCTCCGTCTTACAGCCTTGCAAAACATCTGGCCGATATTTTACAACCACATATAGGAAAAAACGATGCCTTTGTAAAAGACTCCGCCCATTTTATTGAGAAGATCAAAGGAATAACTTTGCAGGAATCTGACATTCTTGTTAGTTTTGATGTGGTTTCCCTATTTACAAGAGTCCCCTAGAAGACGTTCTGAATTTAATTGAGGGACTAGTTTCCAAGGATATGGTGGAATTATACCGTATTTGCCTAACTACCACATACTTTTCATGGGAAGACCAAATTTATGAACAGATGGATGGAGTAGCAATGGGAAGCCCACTAAGCCCGGTCGTAGCCAACCTTTTCATGGAGCATTTAGAGAAGAAGATAATGGACTCAGCATACAAGCCTAGGGTATGGTTCAGATACGTTGATGACACCTTTGTGATTTGGGGTCACGGAGCAGAAAAACTAAACGATTTCCTGGCTTATATAAATACACTACATCCAAATATTCAATTTACGATGGAAACAGAAAAAGCTCAACAACTAGCGTTCCTGGATGTATTAGTAAATCGAAAGGAAGGTCACTTAGGACATAAAGTGTATCGAAAACCTACACACACAGACAGATACCTAAACAGGAACTCAAATCATCATCCTAGCCAAAAACAAGGTATCATCAAAACTTTGGCAGAGAGGGCGAAGAGAATTTGTGAACCACAACATCTCCAAAGTGAACTTCTTTATATTGAAAAAGCGCTCACCTCTAATGGGTACACCAGAAGAGAAATACACAAGGCGATGAACAACGTATCTAGAAGAAGGGACGAAGAAACAGAATGTAAAGGGAAAGCGTTCTTGCCCTATATATCGGGGGTAACGGACAGAATTGGGCGAATACTCAAGAAAGCCAACATAAAGACCATCTTCAGACCTACAAAGAAGATCAAGGATTGTTTAAGATCGGTAAAAGACAAACGCGACCCATTAGCAACGGCCGGAGTATACCGAATACCATGCACATGTGGAATGGTATATGTGGGAACCACAAAAAGACACACCAACACCAGGATAAATGAACATAAAAGCCATTGTCGTTTAGGACATATCGACAAATCTGCCGTTGCCGAACACGCTTTGGGAAGCGGAGAACATCGAATACTATTTGAAGAAACACAGATGCTGGACAAAACTTCACAGTACTACCCACGGTTATATCGGGAAGCGGTGGAAATATACAAGCACCCAAACAATTTCAATAGGATAGAAGAAGGACTAAAAATCAACAAAACATGGATACCAGTATTAAAATCCACAAACGCCCTTCCCGCCAAACACGGAGATAGAAAAGCTACTATAAACAACGACACGCCCCCTCAAGCCGAAACCAGTGGAGGGGAGGTGAGTGGGAATTATAAATATTGCCTCCGTAGTACAACGCGTCGTCAGTTTCTGCTTACAAGCGAAGCATCAACATCTCCAGAAGATGCCAACCCCTAGTGTTGGCGAAACGTCGAGAACTAATCTCAACAGAAGACAACGGCCCAACAGCCCGAATAAACAGTTTAATAAGTTAGACGATGGCCGTGAAAGCCTAACGCAATTTAAAAATAATTTACTCTGAACAAATGACATTTACCAACAATAAGTATCTGACAGTCCAAAGCATACTTTTCATAAATGAAATAATATTTGAAATCCTTTTTTAAGGCTCTAAGCAGTTCGACTGCGTTTTTATCGAAAACGGTTGAAATTATCACGTTTAATCAAGATTACCAATTTTACGTAAAAATGATGTTTACGTCGTATTTTCTAATAAAAATTTACTAAAAGTTTCATCAGAAAAGGTTTAGGCTCAATTTGATCATTAGGAATGATCCACTTGGCGCCATCTATGACAAAACATAAAATTGTAAATAAAATACTATTTCTTGTTTAAGATTATGCCTCTGGGCCAATTTTGATAGCAATTTATAAATATACAGGGACAATATTAGCAAAAAACGAAAAACAAAAATTAACTTTAACACCCTGTATCTTTTTTCCCAGTAACATTTTATTAAGGCATATTTGTCCCAATAGCCATATTTTGGTCCAAATAACCTGTCCTTAGTCTATGTCCCAATAGTTATGACTCACCCTGTATAACTGTAGGAAAATTTAACATGTTAATTTCCATAAAAAAGACAAAATGGTTATATATGGGTATAACAGCATGGTTATAACAGTAAATGTACAAAGTTGTAAATTGGAACTGGAAGGCCAGATAATAGAACAAGTGATGAATTTTAAATATGTAGGAATTACATTATACAGCAACGGAAAACTCGAAACAGTAGTGGAAGATCAAGTTAATAGAGCAAACAGAGACTCAGGTTATCTAAATGAATCAATAGGGAAAAATAAAATTATCGAGAAAGAAATGAATGGCAGAATTTACAAAAGAGTCATCAGACCAATAATGACATACGCGGCAGAAACACGACCTGACACAGAGAGGACAAAAATTATGTTAAAAACAGCAGAGAAAATTTATGGTAAAATACTATGGGACAGATCTAGAAGTATAGATATACGACGTACTGGCAAGGTGAAGAACATTAAGAAATGGGTAAGAAATAGAAGAGTAGAATGAAATCAGATGAGCTGAATGACAACAAATAGAGTAGTAAAGACGGCAAAAGACAGTACCAAATAGAAAGACGATCAGTAGGAAGACAACGAAAACACATAAAAAACAAGCAGAAAAAGATAATAATTAAAAATTTCAAATAATATTGAGTGCTTTGTACTGCTATTGACATAGAAGTTAGTTTCTAATTGTTAAAAAAGTTGTGTGAGAGAGAAAGATATGGCACGGAAAAAAGTCCATCAGCCACAGAATGTTTTATTTATGTTTAAAGATATATTTTTTTTTGTTCTTATTTGTTCCTTTTTTCTAGATATATGTATAAATCCTCAAAGTTATACTAATTATTTTTCTACTTTTACATCTTTAATAAAATTTATTAGCAATTATTTCTAATATCTAACGAATAGCAAGGTTTCTCTATTAGCACTGGCCAAAATGTGTGATAGACTTAACGGAAGCAAATATTTCATTTCAATAAGAGACCCCCTCCGATGGAGAGAAACAGCAAGCATATTGCTGATGATGATGATAAATGATTGAATGATAAATGGGAGAGATTGATCTTCCGCGAAAATTATATCAGAAATGTTCATGAATGTGCCTTTATTCCTCTTCAGGATTGCCAGGCATGTATATATAACCATAATATAAACGTTTCAGTATTACAAATTTGAAAGACACAATAATACGGTATACAATATATTATATTATAATATATTTTTAATAAATTTACTCACTTTCATCGTTAACGAATTGCCCAGCTCCTACACCAATATTTAAAACAAAGATCACGGACCAAATCCATTGCAGTTGGTACCTTTTTATTTGAAAAGTACTCCCGGATCTACAGCATGACGTCCACTCCGGACACGACTACGCTTCACTTGAGTCCGACTTCTCATGCCTGTCTCACTGATTTCATTTGCATACTTCTAATGGGTTTTGCACATTCCTGCTTACGCATAGAAACAAATTTATTAATATTACTTAAGTTTTAATAATTCTTAATATATCTACTGTCCTACATACTGGGTGTCCTAAAAAATTTAATCGGTTTGAACTTTATGTTCTAGGTCATTGAAACTTTAATAAGAGTTAAAAGCACGCAATGAAAATAATACGAACTTGTTTTGTTTGATACGCGGCTTTTTATATAGAGGCGTTTTTTGAAACGTTCATGAAAATTGATAGATATTATAACAAATAGATATAAAAGCATAATTTGACTAAAGGATAAACCTTTAGTTTCAGTGATAAATCATTTAAATTTTTTTCTTGAACGTGACTTTTATTGATGTAGAATGTAGCAGGCTTTCAGTCTATAAGTCTATATAAGTCTATATAAAGTCGGAGATATACGATCTATAATCTATACACAATACATATGCCACACACAATACACAAACATTTAATACAAAATACACACCAAACAGTTTGAATTTGATATTCCGAGGATAAAAAGACCATCCACAGATTTTTTCAACTATAAGCAGGTTGTGGTCTACAAGACCGAGACAACCATAAATTTTTAATAACATAACCTACAAACAACAACTTGTTTTGTACATTTGTTTGGTACATTTTTACAGAATTTTTAAAACAATCTAGTTTACTTTGAACAACAATAATACTAGTAAAATAAACAGATTCCTCTGTTTTCCTATTTCTCCTTCTTAGGATGTCTCTCCGTTACGAACGTTTGTCGATCAATTTGACTATGATGACTTTGTTGATTGCCTCATTTCCTACAATTTTGCCTTGTATACTTGTATATAAAATAATTAGTTTACTTTTAACAACAATACTAGTAAAATAAACAAGTTTCCCCTGTTTTCCTGTTTATCGACACGATGTGAATAAATATAAATGGTTACAAAAACGTTTAGAAATATGGACAAGTCGTTTTTAAGCTTTTGTATGAATTTCTTTCAGATATTCTAAGTAATTTATGTAATTTTAAAAGGCTATGGGTCGTATCTCCACTTTTTCAAGGTAAGTAATGTCTTTTTTTATGCAATTTTTTTATATGCGCTTTCCTGTGGAACGTATCTGTCGCATCAAACGAGACCTTACTGTATACTGTTCTTTTTTTAATGTGGTCTTACCTAAATACAACTTAAATCTACCATAGTAGGTTTTAAACTTGTTTTAATTTTAAACTCTATACGGTACGGTTAAACAATGAACTATTTTTTTTAGTGGGTTTTGCACTTTTAGAGATTCTCATGACATGGCTCAGATACTTTGTTTTTGCATTTTAACACTATCGATTACGTGCCATTCGGGTGGCGGTTTATGATATCCTGAATATTATCTGGCATAATTTCATCTCAAATACCTTCAAGCGTTCCATGCTATAAAAGTTTAGAGTTGCGGTTTCTATTTCGTAGACACACTACAAATACACAATTATATTTTTAAATGAAAATTTTTAGTTGATTGGACATACTTCCGCAGCAGAACTACATTGTTTAAAATAAAAATAAATATTTTTCTAAATTTTTTCCATATATTTTGTTTTGTCTAAATAATTTTAGACAAACTTTAAGTTAAACTTAATAGGGTATCCTTCTCCTCCTCTATCCTTTCTCCTATGTAAGAATGTAGTGGCGTCATGTAATTTCTATGCATGTTGTTATACTTCGGATAACGAGTAAACAGTCATCTCCTTTATTTGGTCCGACCATCGTACTGGAGATCTTCTTCTGGATCTTTTACCCGCTATATTACCTTCAACTATCATACATACCTTCCCTTCTTCTAGTTATATGTCCAAAATATCTTAGTATAGTTTGGTTGATAGTTGTGATGAGTTTAGTTTTTATGTTAAGTCCTGATAGAATTGAGTTATTTGTGCGATGGGCGGTCGATGGTATGCGCAACACTCTACGGTAGACCCACATTTAAAATGCCGTTATAAATTTAAATCGGCTGTTTTTATTGTCTAAGTTTCTAAACCATAGGTGGGAATAGGAAGTATCAATGCTCGAACAATGAGTAATTTTGTGTTTTTTGTGAAGGCAGTGTTCTTCAAATTTTTGTGAGTTTGGCTGTTGCCGATCTGGCCATTGTGATGCGTCGACGAATCTCGTCTTCGCATTCTCCACTGTAAGTAATAATAGAGCCTAAGTAATTAAATTCCCTGACCACTTCGTAACCTGCCATGTTTCTTATCTCTGCTTCTTCTTCTTCTCGTGCCACTCCTAGCGGAGATTGGAAATCATCATTGCCACTGCGACTTTGTTAGCAGCGCGCCTAAAAACTTCAATCGAACTACACCCGAACCATTCACGAACATTCACCATTCATTGATGTTTCTTAAAAGTTCGAACTTTACACCTCTCACAATCTGCCCCAAGGATTCCATCTTTCTAGTTTTTATCTCATTTAGAATTTCGCATCTTTTGTCTAAAGTTTGGAATACTTGCGTGTTAGTGACGCGGTCCATCCATGATATTCTGAGAATGCGCCTATAGCGATGATTCTATCGATGATCATCAGATTTTAATTTAAAGTTTTTCGAAACCACATTATTAACTCTTACATTAGTAGTATTATTTACATATAGTTTTTGTAAAAAATAGATCAGTTGTTCTGGCGTACTTATTTCTCTAATTACTTATATGCCACATTTTATCCCATTTTACGGGATTGAAGGCCTTGGAATAGTCAACAAAGCATAAATATGTTTCTATGTTAAATATATTTTTCGATAAATTGACGAATATTAAGAATATGTTTTCTTGTTTCTCTATCTGGGACGAATCCGCATTGTACTTTGGAAATTTGTGGTAAGATAATTGATTTTAGTCTTTCATAGATGATGGTTAAAAGTACTTTGCTCGCGTGTGATATTAATGCTACTGTACGGTAATTACTGCAATCTGTCGTTAAACCTGCTTTATATATGGGAATAAACGTGAGTTTACCCCAGTCATTTGGCCACTTTCCAGTAATTCAGATCTCATTGCAAATTCTAAGCATTTTTTCCCTAATCCCTAATTCTCCCATTTCTTTAAGTGTTTCAGCTGTTATTCCATCTTCTCCTTCTGCTTTTCCGAATTTTATCTTTTTAATTGCCGTCTCAATTTCTGATTTTAATATTTAAGGTTCTTTTTCATAACTTTTTTTCTTTGTATTATTGTAGTTGTTAGAGAATAGTATTTAGCAATATTGTATTAAAAGGGTATATTTAACTGCAAAACTGCTCTAACTTACATGTATTTCTTTTAGAAATTAAAACTGTGGTACGGTGGACTATTACTTTAACAGCATTCTTCTTCTTCTAGTTCTATGACCGTTATCGATCGATGGATATCATAATGGCTGACTGAATAATATCGTGACTTTATTGACAGCAGCTCTAAATAACGATGTACTTGATTTTCTATACCATTGCCTTTGATTTTTCAGCCATGATGTTCTTCTTCTACCAGGACCATGATTACCTTGGATCTTTCCCTGAATGATCAGATGTAAAAGATCATATTTTTCAGGGTGTCTCATAATGTGACTGAAGTATTCCAGCTTTCGTTTCTATATTATATTGACCAGTTGTGTTTTTTGGTTCAGCCGTGTAAGGACCTCCTCATTTCTAACTCTCTCGACCTAGCTTATTTTCAGTAGTCGTCTATACACCCACATCTCAAGGGCTGTCAAGCGTTTAAGGATAGCCTCAGTTAGATTCCACGCTTCCACTCCATACAGCAGGTCAGGAAAGATGTAGCAAGATATCATTCGAACTCTAAGGTCTATGCTAAGATCGTGACTGCAAAGTATATTTCTCATTTTTACAAAGGCAGCTCGGGCTTGTTCTATTCGGCTTTTAATTTCTGCGGTTGGATCCAAGCTCTCATTGAAATGAGAGACAGCCAAGTTTCTCTACTCTATCCAGTGTTGCATCTCCGACTTTTATACCGTCATCCTGTATATCATTTTATTTGCTAACTATCATATATTTAGTTTACTTAACGTTGAGTTTTAATACATACTGATCACGAGTCTGTTTTATTTTGTTCATTAGATTTTGAAGGTCTTATCCGCAATTAGCAAGCACTAAGCTATCGTCGGCATGTCTAATATTGTTGACGGTTACTCCATTCACAATAATACCTTCGGTTGTATCCATTAAGGTTTCGTTAAATATTTCCTCCGAATATAAGTTAAAAAGTAAAGGCGACAATATACAGCCTTGTCTCACTCTTATTTTTATATTTATTTTATCCGACAGTTTTTGTTCAACCTTTATTCTTGCCTCTTGATGCCAGTATAGATTTGTAATTATTCGTAGATCTTTATCGTTCAATCCAGCTGTTAGAATTCGACAACGTTAGAAAACGTTCTTATATATATATATATATATATATATATATATATATATATATATATATATATATATATATATGTATATATATATATATATATATATATATATATATAGATATATATATATATATATATATATATATATATATATATATATATATATATATATATATATATATATATATATATATATATATAGACAAGGTAGTCCAAAATTTTTTGACTAGTTTGGAAAAATATGTAAATACTTTTTTCTTTTTGGGTGTGGTAGTCAATAAAAAATAGAGCTTTGCTAAGGCGTACTATTTATTCTGAAATCCGAGCTTTCGGTGGTTATTTGCCACCTTTATCAAGGTCTACAATGAAAATTACTGTGTTTGTACTATGTAAAAAAAGTTTATTATTTTAAATTTCCCTCTCAATTCTAAGTTGGTAACATGGTTGGTAGTACTTAAAATCACAAACGGCATTTTGTTAGACATCAGTTTGAAAGTTTGTTTTTTGTAGTTACATCGAACTAT